CAGCCGAGATGGCGGCAGCACAACACAAAGACTGTTGCCAAGGGCAGCCGGAGGCTCCGGCAGCTCCCTGGGATTTTCCCAGACGGGCTCTGAGCACTGCCGGCGAGGGTGGGGTGCTGGGCACAGGCACCGCGCTACGGCTCCTCGGGGACAGCTTGCATGTCGGTCCCACTCGCAGCCCCTCTAACCACACTCCATCCTCCCGCCAGCGCTCCAGCCGCCCCCAGCCCTCCCACCCTGCTCCTGCCCCTCGGAAACCTTCATTCAGAGACCGCTGCGCACAACTGGTCCCCAACCACTGTCCCACCGAGCGCTCAGGTCCCCCTGTACCTCCTCAGCGCTCCTCCATCTCACTCTGTTTTTATCCACGGCCCAGGGAGGGCTCAGACCCCGCCACTTCCCCCACGCCTGCCCCAGGAGCGTGTGGGGCATGTGCCCCCAGGTCCCCTTCATTTCTCCCATGTGCCCTCAGGTGCCCTTCGCTCCCCCCACGTGGGTGCTCACATTCCCCCATTACCCTCCACACACACTCAGATCCCTTCTGCACTCACTTCTCCATCCCCCTCTCTACGCGCTCTTTCACTCCCCACTTCACACCCTTTATTCCCCTCAGATCCCTCCACTCCCCTCCCACCTCTGTCCCACTCCAGTCCCACCCTGCTCCATTCAGCCATTCCCATCCGTGTGTGCTGATCCCCTCCTTCTACCTCCACGTGTACTTGGATCACTCCATGCTCCCCGCTGAACACACAGCTCCTCTCCGCTGCCCGTGCTGTGCCTTTTCAGTCCCTCCATTTACCCCTGCAGGGTGCTCAGATCCGACCCATCCCTCCATCCCCTCCTGCCCGCTCTGGCCCCGCTGTCACCCACCCTACAGCCCCCTCCACCGCTGCCCTGATCCCCTCCCAGCGTATCCTGCTCCTCTCTCTTCCCCTCCCTGCACAATTTCCCCCTTGTTCCTCCCTCCGTGCTTTCCATCACGGCCAGGCATCCCCCTCAAAACCACACCGCGGGGTACAGGTTAACTCCCGACTTAGATACAGAGCAACACTTCAGACGGACTTGAGGAAAAAAATATTTATAACAAAAAACCCCAATTAAGCCTCCCTAGAGTCGGCATCACCCACGTCCTGCCCGCGCACCAGTTGTTTGTTCCACTATCCCGGGACCACTGTGACCCCATGGCAACTTTCTCCATCACGGTCCCCGCAACCCCAGTACGGCTCATGGCAACTGGGACAGAATCCCGTACTGGTATTTGAGTCCATCACAGGCATCAAGATGAGTGGGCTACTGGGATCCGCTTCCCGAGCTTTGCCTGCGCTGGGTGCCACCTTGTTAAAAAGGACACCTGAGACAAAGATGATGATGAAAAGAGGAGAGAAGAAATGGAGAAACAAGGCTGGGGAAGGACGGAGTGAAAGCTGGGATGCTCCGACGGAACCTGCAGGACACTAACGGCCTGCGCTCAGCCACGCGGCACCGAGGACACGCTTGACGCCGGGCATCCAGCCAGAGCTCTGTGTGCTTCTGCAAGAAGGGATGGAAACTATGTGCCTCGCGTCTCTTCTCCCCTCGTTTCCTGCGCAGAGACCCCGCCGTGCTGCTCGCCATCGTCACCTACACAGGGCACAGAGCAGCAGCATCTCAGTAAGAGCCAACAAGGCAGACAACAGGAATTCCTCCCTCCTCGGCAGCTGCTCCTGTAACACCCGCAGATCAGCTTCCACCCCAAAACTCGGCCAGCGAGCAGGCACCGGCACTCACTTTCCGTAAGGCAGTTGAGGTACGCAGCCTGGATGCTGTTCCCATTGACCAGCGCCATTGCCTTGTGCTTGGTGGAGCTGCTTGTGGTCTCCTCTTCGCCCTTCCCCTCATCGTCGTCATCTGAGTCCACCAGCACTAAGACGTCACCCGAGTCCTGATTCCTGCAAAGAGCAGAGCAAGTAGAGGTGGGCTGAAAGGCTGAGGACAGCCTGTCCTGACCCCTCCCTCCAGCCTGCGCTTTGACAACCCTCTACACCAAAATGACCGATTTTAACGGACTCTTCCAATCCTGCACTAACCATGTTCAGAGAACAGCTGGTTTCGGATCCTGCTGGCAGCAACACCACCACCAGCATTCTGCACTGCTTCCCGTTCATTCTTCCACAGTCCTCCAACCATTTCACATATATTCATGTACTAAATGGCACGAGCCCCTCACGAGTGGAGTTATTCTCCCCTCCCATACAGATGGGGAAATGGAGGCCCTCAGAAAAGAATCCTCCCATGCCGCAGCACCACAGCTGTGGGAACAGAACCAACAGGGGCAAGGGAAGGGAGCGGGCTGGGAGGGGAGCGAGCAGGAAATGGAGAAGAAATCTGGTGCACCTGAACCTCAAGAAGGCACTTGTTCAGGTGCAGCTATCAGATGTGTCTCCTGAAGGGGGAAGGACATGGCGCAAGCACCCACACAGAGCGGCAGATCGCCCTTTCTATTTACTCTGCAAGTCTTCAGGCTCACCTGCAGTGAGGCACAGATCTCCTGCACAGCCTCCTCCCACACTAGCGGGTGCCTTGCCAGCACCGTCCCCGTGTGTCCCAAAGCGATGCCACTCCTGCTCTGATGCCAACTGCTCCCCTCTCTCCTCGCCTTTCTGCTCCCGCACCCACGCCAAGTCTCACCCAGCCCCACCATCCCCTCCCCACGGGAGGTACAGCTCCTGCGTAAGAAGAGCGTGGCCCTGGGGGCAGCTCCTGCCTCCGGGGTGGATTCCCCACCCGACATGGAGACCGCCTCGGACTAGCGAGGACCACACAGGACTGGGCTGAAGAAAATCAACGCTCACCTGAATGCGGCACCTGAATGGGAGAGAAGGGAAGGGAAAAGACAGCGTTAGAAACTGGCCCCGGAGCAGTCCCTCGGACAGCGCGCTGCTGGTTTTACTGTACAACCCCTGCCAACTCTGCCTGCAGCGGGATAGTCTCTGGCAGCCACGTGTAGTGGCATGGACATGAAGGTGACCTGCCCACACATGCAACGAGAGCATCAGAGAGGTGACAGGGAAAGGGGAGAAGGCCCATCGCCGTACAGCTCCCTGGAGAAGGCAAGGGGAAGGTGCCTAAAGCACTCAGCTGGGGAAGGGCCTTGTGTTTCCAACCCATCTGCCTCCAGGGCTGACAGGGTTTTGACCAGGAGCTTGATGAGACCCACGGGCTGGGGCGATCATCAGTGGCTGACTCCAGCACACCAGAAGGGACAAGCAGGTTAGGGATAAAACCAGACCACCCCAGGAAGGGGCAACCCCCTCCTTCGCTTGTGCAGAGGAGATCTCCTACCTCTCAGGCACAGGAGGGGGTTGTAGTACAAGACGACCCCGGTGATGGTGAGAATAGCCAGCAGGGACAGGACCACCACTGCACCCACAACCCCGACAATGTTCACTGGCTCTGTGGAGAGAAGAGGAGACACAGGAGGCCAGCTTGTCACCGGTTCACAGATGGATGAGGAAATCTCAGTGCAAGCAATAGAGCAGGTCTTGGTGCTGTCTCAGCTCCCATTTCCCATCACTGCAACAGTCCCACCAGCACAAGGGGTAAGAGTTTCAGGCACTCATGCTTCATTAATATGGAAAACACCATAGTAAGGCCCCCTTTTTTGTGCCCACAGGCATTCACCGAAAGCAAATCAACCTCTGCCTGTTGTACCTTGAGCAGCTCGAGCCTTGGAGGTGCTCCTCTGCAACCACAACCTACAAGAGGGACCAAGAATGCTCCTCTCTCAAGCTCATTACACCGAGGTGAGGGGAATCAGGCCTTTTTACCCTGGGATGGAGGGAGCCAGTCCTCCATCTACACTTGCTGCGAGAGCACGGAAAGCATCAACGAGCAAAGAGGGCTCTTAGTGGCAAATGGAGCTCCTTGAAGGCTCGCCAACGGCCCCCGTGAACTGTCCCCCCAACTCCTCACTCCCTGCCGCAGCAACCCCAGGCAGCCCCACTCACGCTTCACCGTCAGGCAGACGAACAACTCCCTCAGCCCCACGGGGTTCTGTGCCTTGCAGACGTAACAGCCCCCGTCGGTGCCCTGGGAGCAGTTCCGGATGGTGAGCCGGGACACGTTGCCCTCCTGGGCGATGAGGTATCTCTCTCCGGGTTGGATCTCCACCTCCGGCTGGGTGATGTCCCGCAGCCAGGTGAGCCTCGCCGCAGGGGTGCCCTCAGTCACACGGCATGTCAGGGTCACATTGTCACCCACAAAGCAGGTCTTCGGGGGCTCAGATTCCAGTGAAGGGATTTCTGAACACGCCCAAGGGGAGAAAAAAAGAAAAAAAAAAAGAAAAAAGTGAAGGAGGGAATGGAGGAGTTTAACATAACAAGCAATCAGCCATCTGACTGATTAATAATCATTAACAGAAGGAAGTCAGACAGGAGTCTAGGACTTGAGCACTGTGGGTTTGGCATTCAGCTCACTCGCGAGACTTCGGCAGCCTTCCAAGGAGCGATCTGAGCAACTTTCACGTTGCTCAGTCCCTTTTTTTGACACCTGTCTTTATAACCCCAGGGAAGAACGGTCGGAGGGTAGCCAGGGGGAAGATAGCAGAGAGGAGAAAGGCAACCCAGGGATTTTCCTCAGCGTCTTGTGTAGCTCTGTGTAGCCCTGTAGTCTCTTGTGTAGCCCTGACAACCCCTGGAGGATAAACACAGCTCAGGTTCTCAAAAGCCACTTTAGTCAGACCCCTTAGATGCTTGTAGGGGGTCTGGGGGCATGCACAACCCTTCTTCTATAAACCCAGCCCCACCAAACAATCTCAAGCTGAGCAAGGCACTAGACCCACCTCTCACTTTCACACAGGCGTGAGCGCTTGCGCAGGTGAAAAGCTCGGTGTGGGGAGATTTGTGGGCCCCTGAAGATGTACCCAAAACACAGCTCACCCGCAACTACGTCATGACGGATCTCAGCTGCAGGACTTCTGCGCCTTGTGCAGTCACCTCTGCACAAGCCAAGCCCTGCCACGCTGCCTCGTTAGCATCTCCCCTTGCGGTAAGCGCCCGCAAGCCTGGCTTGCCTGACCACTGCCTTAGTACCTGTCTGCCCCACCATTAGCAGGTTTATTAACAGTTAATAAGGCAGGCACGCCAACTCACTTATCTCCACAGTGCACGCAGGCTCCTCCTGCTCGACGACGTGGCTCCCAACACACTTGAACACTTTGCGGTGGGAGAGGTGGGAGCTGTTCAGCGTCTCCACATGGGTGTCCGAGGAGCTCATGGAGCTGATGACCCAGCTTGAGTTCTCCAGATCATGCCCCTCTTCTCTCCAGTGCAGGGTGGGGTGGGGGTACCCCCCAGGCCAGCTGCAAAACAGCTGCAGCATCAGTCCCGACGAGGAGGTCTCAGCCCAGCACTTTGGGGTTGAGTGCGGTGGATCTACCAGCAAGAACAGCACATGGTTAGAAACATTTCCAAGTCATAGCTCTCAGCATTTCCGGGCTGGAACCCCTGCAAGTGCTTGTTTTTGCCATCACTCCCCTTGAAAGTCTTCCTGGTTTCCCTGCCTATCTTGCTCCCTGGCCTGCATCCCACAGCTCCAGGGGAGCACAACTCTGAGTGACAGTCAATAGGGACCAAGCAGGAGGCTGTCCTGCGAAAGCCATCACAGCAACCACAGCCGAACCTTGAGGGACTAATGCACAGGGAGGAAAAAAAAAATATCGCCACAGCTTTGTCCAATGGAGACGAGATAAGCACCTAAAAATGCAGTGAGAGAACAAAATCTCCACACTGCCCTCGGTGCTCATGCCACAGCTACAGGGGGGTGACACCGATTCACACCACTTGAGAACAAGGCTCTGCCTCTCCCCGTCACTGATAAAAGCACTCGGATTTCCCGAGGGAACACGGAAAGCATCAGGACTCTTGCCCAGGGACAAGTAACCAGCTTCTCACAGCCAACAGCTCAAAGCTGGAGCACTTCTCCAACGAGCCCAGCACATTGTTGAAGGAGGAGGCTGCTCCTAGTGTACAAGACGCTCTGCACACAGGGAGTCCTGGTGACTCCCGCTCGCTGGGTCAGGGCCATGGACGCGTGCCACTGAAGGCAACCCAGGTGTGCTCCGCTCCTTCCCGGCACCGCTGTCACTGCCACTTGGGGCCAGACGGTATTATTCAGCCACGCACCACGCTCTGTGTCCACACGGCACTGCAGCAGTGGAGACAAACCCCAGCAAAGAACAGAGGTAAGGTAAGTCACAACTGGCCTTGTGCCAGGGCCTATGACTTGGTAACCACCACGACTATGTTTACTATTTAAATGCAGAAACAGCTACAAGATGGCAGGAGCGGGTCAGAAGCGAATAGAAATCCCAGAGCAATCCCTTCGGGCAAAGCGGGGCTCACATTTCATGCAGTAGGAGTTCCTGCCTCTCCCGTCAGC